CGTCTCGCTCCAAGGGCCGCGGAGATGGTGAGTTCTGGGAAAAGGAAGTGGAAGGATGTTGATCGCGAGTAACCTCTCTCGACTCTTAGCACCTAGAAGCGGTGCTTCGCGCCGGGCCGCAGTGAGGCTCTGCGGTGGCCGTGGGGACGCTCCCCTGGGATAGTTCTTTCTACAGCGGCTAAGTCGATATTAGCGATTCCAACCTTGGATCGTCCACCTTTGATAACGAGACACCGCCACTAAACCGTGGTAGAGTCGGCATTAGCCCTCCAGCGGTCTCCTGGCAATGCGTGTGTTTCCCGAGAAAAGGCATGGTCTTGTCTCGCCACTTGGTTATGGAGGTAGATTTGGTCTCTGTCGCATACTGAGCAAGCACATCACTATAAAGCATCCTAGGCACGTACAGGAAGCCATAATTTTAATTTACACTGTCCAGGTTTTCAAAAGCACGGCTGTTTTTCCTGTTATGTTTGGTTCCATTATTTCTGCTGTTGCTTTGTCTTCACCCAAAATAAAATATTAATATCTTTCCTATATGCATTGGAAGCTGTTTGAAGGGTTTTCCCTAGATTATTTAGCCTTGGAATGAACTCTTAATGAAGTATCTTAGTGAAGTATCTATTTGATGTTTCTCATCAAATCTTCAGGCATCATCATCTTGTCTCAATGTTAGCTGTTGTCCTGTGCTAGGAAACTTCTGTTACTGGCTCATGTATATAATTGTATTTTAAAATGGATAACTGAAAATAATTTAACATCTATCTATACAATAGATGTATTTAAAGCTTTCCATTGAGAATAATTTAATTTTTATCAGACTGCTGAAAAATTAATCATTTGCTGTGTTTAGATTTCTGTTAATTATTGCTCTTGGAATTCTCATCAGAACCCATATTGATGCCATATTGGAGTACTATATAATGTCTCCAATAGCACATCTATCTTTTTCTCTTGGGTGAAAGTTTGATTAGCTTCCCTAATTTTTCAATGTGAATTTTAAGAGATAATTGTTAACTACTGTATAGCATGTTGCTTCTTTTTGTTTTAATATCAAAATTTGATGATGATCCAGCTGTCTTTCTCATAATTGCTTTCCTATTTATACTGAATTTTCACATACTGTATACAGATTTTAAAATATTTGCTTATTACATTACTTTTGTTATAGAAAGGACTTAAATTCCGTATTTGAAAATATGAAAACAGATGAAGATTGGTAGGAGCTGCAATTAATGTGGACTGTGTGAACTTAGAGTTTGAAGTTAATGATACTGTGATCTTGGCCATTATATTGACTTCCTCTAGTGAAAGGCATAACAATCCTTTCTGATGCTATTTCAGTTAAGGAGGTACTAATAAGATTTGTCCTTTTTACATTGCTAGTGTGCAAGATTTTGTCGTTATAGAAGCTGTAGAGAAAGATTAACAGGAAATCCTATACCATTTCAGACAAATGGTTGTCCAGTCTCAAAAACTTCCAGTGTTGGAGCATTCACAACTTCTGGAGGCAGGTTGTTCCATTGATTAATTGTTCTAACTGTCAGGAAATTTCTCCTCAGTTCTAGATTGCTTCTCTCTTTGATTAGTTTCCATCCTTGCTTCTTGTCTTGCTTTCAGGTGCTTTGGAGAATAGTTTGACTCTTATTTGTGCAGCCCTTGAGATAGTGGAACATTGCTATCATGTCACCTCTAGTCCTTCTCTTCATTAAACTAGATATACCCAATTCCAGCAACCGTTTTTACATTGTGGTGACCAATACTGGATGCAGTATTCCAAGTGTGGCCTTACCAAGGCGTTATAAAGTGGTATTAATACTTCACGTGATCTTGATTTTATTCCTCTGTTAAGCACTGTGTTGACTTTTTTGGCAGCTGCAAGCACACTGCTGTCTCATATTTAAGTGATTGTCCACTAGGACTTCAAGATCCGTCACACAGTTACTATTACTGAGCAAAGTAGCACCTATACTATACCTGTGCATTTGGTTTTTCTTGCCTAAATGTAGAACCTTACTTCTTTCACCATTGAATTTCATTTTGTTAGCTAGTGCCCAATGTTCAAATCTGTCAAGATACTTCTGTATCTTAAGCCTATCTTCTGGATTGTTGGCTATTCCTGCCAGCTTGGTGTCACCTGCAAATTTGATGAGTTCCCCATCTGTTCCCTCATCCAAATCATTGATGAAGATATTGAAGAGTACTGGGCCCAGAACAGAGCCCTGGGAACCTCACTACACACTTCCTTCCAAGTTGATATAAAAAAATTATTATGAAAATGTATTCCCCAAATATATCATGTTACCAGGTAAATATTAAAGCAATGAAACTTGGATTTTAGACAAAAATACTGTCAAAGGATTTTTGCTTATAAAAAGTTTTGTTTTTAAAGTTATTGATTTGTTAGACTGTCTCAAAAGAAACAACATTTTTGCTTTGTTGAAATGCCATTTCTCTTGTATTAATGTTTTTTTCCCTTTCAAAATTTTCAGAAAGAAGAGTGAAGAGGCATGGATATAACATGAATTGCTTAACGCGTTCAGAAAAAATAGGAATTATTTCTCAGTTAACTAAGTAAAATGGATGAGTCAGTCTTATTGGATCTGTTGGAGTGTCCTGTCTGTTTAGAACGTCTGGATGCTTCTGCAAAAGTCTTGCCTTGTCAACATACATTTTGTAAAAGATGTCTCTTGGGCATTGTGAACTCACGCAGTGAGCTTCGTTGTCCTGAATGTAGGACGTTAGTAGACTGCAATGTTGATGAACTTCCTAGTAATATTTTGCTTGTTCGACTACTAGATGGCATCAAACAAAGGCCTCAGAAATCAACTAATTTAATGACATGCACAAATTTATTAAGGGCCCAAACTAGCACTGTTGCTAATTACATTCAAAAAGACCTACATAATTCTCAAAGTGTCCAGCAACAGAGAGTACAGGCACGAAGTCCACCTGTTAGGGTAAGTGGCTAAAAATGTAAATGGAATCATATTCTTTGGGGATATTTGACAATCCAAGGAAAGTAGAATTATGGTGTGATGATGTTCATTCAGATGGCTTATATATAAAATTCAACAGTACTTTAGCTTAATGGAAAGAAAATTAAACATAATAACTTTAAATATATGGGGTCACATGGAGCATTGACTGTACTAGTTCTTTGTTGCTTCTGAAAGCAGAAGCAGAATCTAGAAGTAAAAATTGAATGAAACACATTTTGGTTAAACTTTAGAAAGTATTTATAATGGAATTAGCTATTTGTTGATGAAATTGACTTCCTTGACTATGTTGCTGAAAGGAGTAAAAAAAAAAATTGGATGACTATTTCCTAGGGATGTTGTAGTTTCATCTTGCATTGCAGTCAATGCTACAGTGACTGTTGGAAGCTGTAATCCAAAATACTTACAGGTGGTGGCATCTGCAACAAACATGACGATACCAAAATGATTAAATATGCACAATATCATCATGTAGATACTGCCATTAGGTACTTGCAATCCAAAGTTAGACACAAGTATTTAAGTTGTGACATTTGCATAATGTTTATTCCTTATTATTTGCCCCAGCAGAATACGCACTTGCCTAGATTAGATTAATATTCCTGGATTACATTATCACCAAAGACTTTCCCAAGCCTACAATATATTCCTTCCTAAATATCATTTACTGGTAATTGATTAAAAATCCTGTTTCTATAGCATAGGAATGCTATGCTTTCTCTCGCCAAACTGTAGATGCTATTGCCAACTCTACATTTTGCATTTCAATTTTTGACCTCAGTGTTGTATGTGAACTGCTATAATTCAGCTTAATAATGAAAAGAATGTTAAAATGTTTTGGTAAGAACCTGTGAATCCTTTGTGTATGGGTGAGAGAGAGGGCACTTATTTTTTTTTTTTAGACTACCATCTTAAAATACATGTTAAATTTTGGAAACAAAACAAGTTTAGGCCTGAAATGGAAGCCTCCAAGAAATATCAAGGTTATAGGATGAACTGGAAATTCAAAACATTTTGCCACTTTATGGGAAGTCACTAGGAGTTAAACTTGATAGACAGGAGACTACTTTTTTCCGAACCTCAATGTTTTCTATATAAATAACATTAAAATTAAAATGTGTGATTTTCACATGGTGTTTGTGCAAAACTTCAGTTCTTAATATTATAACTTGTTACTAGCTATGTGTAACTTTCTGCAGTTTTTTCTTGGCTTTAATTATCTAAGCCAAAAATTATATTTGTCAGATTCCTGCCTTTTAGTTTCTGGTGGCTAAAGACATTTCAGGTGTTTCTCTAGAACAGTTGAGGAAGCCAGTCAGCCAATAAAGTCTTTAAATTTACTGTCATGGAACAAAGATACTTAGAATGCAAGAACAACATTTCTGCCTTTTTCTTGTTCTGGATAACAAAGGATGCTAGGTAGTTTTCATGTATATCCACTTATTCTTTTAATTTAGAAAAAACCTATATCCGAATCACTCCATTAAAGTTGTATAGTTCCATCTAAGGACTTAATGTTTTCAGTTCCATTCAGTATGAATAGTCAATACTCATATTCTTATACTGAGGTTTGACTTAATTTCATGGCAATTCATATCCTTGAATGTATCAGAGTAGTTATTTATTTCAATTTTATCCAGAAATTAATTGAAAATATAATTTCATAAGATGATTTATATAATTTTATTTTTGCTTAGTGGCAGGTCAGATTAGATTCCTTAAAAAGGTTTGACTCTCATCCAGTAATATTTGCATGTGCACTGCCTCTGGTGTAGTTTGAATTTGCAGTGCAGTGGTTAAGTGCTTCATCAGTTTTGAAGAATGCATTGTACTTAGACTGAGAAATAGTTCAAATAATATAAGGAGTGAACAAAGACTTAAAAGCACTCAAGTATTTAAAATATTTTTTGTTTAGTTCCTTGACTTTACCCTACTTAGAACATAGACTGTTGTATCCTGCAGAGATTGGCTCCCCACAGAGATGTAACTGGTTGCTAAGAAAAGGACTTATTCTTCCAAGATTCAAAAGCTGTAAGATCCTTTTTATATTATAGTGCAGAGGTAAGCAATGTGAAATGTTGGATTACAACTCCCTTAAATTCCCACTAGCATGAGCTGGATCAGGGTTATAGGAATTGTAATTTAATGTAATATAGATAAACTCCTGACATGTAGTTTGTAGATTTGTCTATCTTTATTTCATTGTAATTTCCTAAACTCTAAACAATGTACCGGTACTTCCAGTGCCAGGCCATACCTGATAAATGTCTTGTTCAGAAATGCTCTTTTGAATATTATATTGAGATGTATTTTTTTACTTTTTATCTGCCTTGTATCTTAAGTTGTGAGCCTTTCAGAAACAGTTGTCCTCCATGATAGATCATGTCAAAGGCATTTATTTAAGTTCTTGAGCCAAGCATTCAACATTGCCCATACAAGTACAAAGGACAGAGGTTATTTTTCTTTTTTCTAAAAAAAATTGAAAATAAGCTTTAAAAAAGCAGTTCTATGAATCAAAAGTAGTTGATTTAACCAGTGTTTCTCAGCTTTGGCAACTTTTTTTTTAATAAAGGTTTTTTATTGAGTTTTATAAGGTTGGGGAAGGAATAGGACCAGGATAGGGATTAAGGTTTGGGGTGGAGTTAGGGTCAGGATTGGGGTTGGAGTTGGGACAGGATTGGGAACAACATTGGGGTTGCCCCCCAGTAACATTTTCAAGCTTAAGCAAACAGGCTATTGTCCAGGTCCATATGTTCAGTTAATACTGATTAATATAATAGTAAATAGCTGTGGTGAATATGATAAACAATAATCATAAATAGTATCAGTTGGTCAATACATATCATTCTTCTTACTAATATATATTCAAAGTAACATACCACATTCATTTCTCACTAGTTCGTTTTTCTAACAATTGATAAAATTTATCCGATGTTTTAAAATAAACTGAATCTTCTTTCTCTTTAATCTCCAAGGTTAATCTATCCATTTCTGCACATTCTAAAATTTTCTTAATTAAGATCTTTTCAGTTGGTAAGTTTTAATTTTTCCAGTATTGGGCAAATACTATTCTCGCTGTTGTCAATACATGCAATATTAAATACTCATTCTCCTTCTTGTACTTAGCTCCTAATATCCTAACAAAAACAGTTCTGGTTTAAATTCTATCTGTATTTTAGTCATCTTTTCCAACCATGTATGTATCTTAAGCTAGAACTTTTTCGCTTTAGGGCATACCCACCAGATATGGTAATAAGTACCTGGCCTTTGTTTACATTTCCAGAAATTATTCAAAGTATTTTTAAACATTTTAGCTAATCTTACTGGTGTCATATGCCATCTATAAAACATTTTATACAAATTTTCTTTATATGAAGCTGCTTTAGTCAATTTGATGTTTCTATCCCATATAATTTTTGCCAGTCTTCCAAATTTATAGAATATCCAAAGTTTTTGCCCATGTTATCATTGTTTCTTTTACTTGTTCTTCTTCCATCTTCAAGTTTAATAGAAATCTGTAAAGTTTCTTGATCAGATTTTCATCTGTTTTTAATAATATTTGATCAAATTCTGTCTGTTCTTTATAAAATCCCGTTGTCTTTGCATCTTTTTTATATCTTGTTTGAATTCGCAAATATGGCCACCATGCTAAGTCAATATCTTGTTGTTGTAAATCTTGTCTGTCTTTCAATTTTCCTTCCTTATCCAGGATATTTTTATAGGTGACGACTTTGTCATAGTTAATTAAATTTGGGTAGGCAAAAGCTTCCATTGTTGAAAGCCACTCAGGTAGTTTAATATAAATTTTCTGCTTTATTCTTTCCCATTCTGAAAGGAGTACATTCCTTATGAAGTGGTTTTGGAAGTATCTATGTGTTTTATTTTTCTCGTACCATAGGAAGGCATGCCAACCAATTTATGGGTCATGCCCCTCTAGGTACAATAGTCTTTTGTTTCTCAGCATATCCATTCTTTAAGCCATGATAAGATGGCTGATTGGTAATATAGTCTCCAGTCCAGGAGTCCAAATCCTCCACTATTTTTAGCTTCTTGTAACATTTTCACTTTAATTTGTGCTTTCTTTCCTTGCCAAATAAATCTCAATATTGTTGCATTTAGATCGTCAAAAAAGACCTTTCCCAAGTTTACAGGGATTGTTTGGAATAAGAAGAGTATTTTCGGTAAAATATTCATTCTCCAGCACTGGAGATGGATAATCCACTAATGGGTTAACTTAATCCTCCTGTCCAATCAGATCAAGTCAGCCAAACTTGCCATGCCTGTCCTGGGCCTGTTTCCCCAGTTTTCGACTTGATCTTGCCCAGAACAGACGTGCAGGTTTGGCTCATAGGCAGGTAGATTTTAACCTATTGATGAGTTATCTATAGTCTTCTAATAATTTAGCATCTAGTCCTCTGAGTAGTGTTGGGACTAGTGCTCCTCTAAGTGGACTTTCCCCTTCATCTGGTCCCCATTGGAATCCAGCAACAAACGAAGGCTTCCGTGTTTTCCTTTTCTCCCTTGCAGCACTGGAGGATTTTTCCTTCAGCTGATTTCCTTTGGAATCCAGCAGCAAACGGAGGCTTCCGTTTTGCTTTCACTTTCCCTTGCCAGCACTGGGCTCAGTGCTGCTGCAAATCCCCCCCCCCACTCCTTCCTACAGCCCATCTCAGCCTCGGAGTTTGCGGCTGCAGCTTCGACGGCCCTTTGGTGACCGGATTAGCTCCGGAGAGGCTGCAGAGCCTCGTCTCCAACCGATTGCTCCCGATGATCTTTCTAAGGTCCAGAACGCCGCAGATCAGCTGGGAAGGCTGGCTTCTCACCTGCCGCTTTCTCCTCCTTCCGTGAGTAGGCTGTTAGAACCGAGGGGAGAAAACGGCGTTTGGGACGTGGCCGCCATTTTGCGAGCCGCATGGTCATCACAAGTCCTTGCCGGTGGCACAGGGAGGCGGTGGGGGAGGTGGGGGAAGGGATTCCTCCCCCCATTCTATTTATCCACCAGTTGCAGCTCATTCTTTAGCCTCCTTAAGGGAGCCGGTGGTATTGAAATCAACTAACTGCGCCGTATTGCAGAGTCCCGGGTTCGAATCCCCAGGCATTTTCCTACATCATATCACAAGGCTGAAGGCTCAGGCCTAGTCAGGAGCCCCAGTGGTTACGGCCACCATTTTGGGATTTTCTCGTGCTCCAGCCAAGGCCTCACTGAGGCCTCCTCTGTCCAAGGCCCTTCCCAGGTCCTTCGTAGCCAAGGATTGCCTGGGGTTTTTTTTCTCTCTGGGCATCCTTAGAGACTCCCCTTGTGGCATTGGATTCCTCTTGCATTCCTTGGCACAGGCCCAACAGATTTCATTGGGCCTTCTGGTGTCTCAAGTCCTGGTCACCATTTGGCTAGCTGATTAACACAGCAGTTACTAGCCTCTGATTCTGTATTAGTTGCCATCTTTTATATTGCTGGCCTGGCAACACAGCAAGCCTCACTAGCAGGCCGCAATCCACCCCCTGAGGGAGATTACAACGGCTGCTAGCTGAACCGGTCTTTTGGATACCAATGGTTCGGTGACCGGGGAGGGGGGTAGGGCAGCCTAAGTCCAGCCTTTGCCCTACACCCTTATCAGCCAATTGATCCCTTCCCAGGTGCACCTTCTCGCACACCTGAAATTTTCATACCAGCATGGAAGATAACATGGCTTCCCAATCCAGGGCTGCCTCTCTTCCCTCTTCAGTCCGGAAAAGGCACAGATCTCCTACCCAAGAGGCTGCTGGTAGGATCGCAGCCAAGGTCAAACCCAAGGCTGCCTCTGGGGGGAAAACCTCCAAATTGGCTGAAAAACAGGCCAGCAGGAGACACCAGGCACTGGAAAAAAGGTTTTCAAAGGCTCAAAAACAGGCCAGGGCTGAGACTGCTCAGACTGAGTCCATCTTTTTTGATCTACCTCTAGGTCTTTCTTCTTCTCCTCAGGAAGTCTGGGCACCGGCAGAACCTTCCACCTCTTATGATCAAGCTGATGTGGTACCTGAGGCACATACCTTCAGATCTCCCTCTATCCCATGGGCCCTGCAGGCCCCGGAGGCCACCTTTACGCCCACGGCCGCGGGGCTTAGAGGGGAGGAGTCCACTCTTACATCCTTGGACGATAGGATCCAGGCCTTGGTGGCTCAGGCAGTGGAGCGGGCCCTTGCGGTCAGGACTCCGTCGGTGCCCAGAGCGGAATCCTTGCTTTCCCTTCCTCTCCCTGCATCCAGTACATCACAGCTCTCGTGACCCTCCTTCCTCCTCCCATTCTGCCTTTAGCGGGGTCTCATTGACCCTGGAGCAGGATCAGGCACTTGACGCCTCGTGGTCAGAGGAGGAGGAACCGGCACCTGATCTGCCCCCATTCGGAGGGCTATTTAATCCATCTCTTTTTCTTCCCCTGCTTCACAAGGTTAGCTCGGTTGCACATGGGGGACCTAGCTGGTTCGCCCAGCGGCTTCCACAATGGATCCACAGGCGGATCCCGTCTTCGTCGAACCGGTGGTCACTCAACACCATGTTCCATTTCCAGCCTTGTTCTTCAGCGCATTTAAGAAACAATGGGCTTCCCTGGGTACCTTCTCCCTTCCAGGTGGGAATGATAAGAAGTTGTTTAGCGTAGCCTCAGAATTGGATGAGGCGTTGAATGTTCCCATGGTGGATGAGCCCTTGTCTCACCTGTTCTCCCCTTCCACTATTTTGGGGGATATGGCAGAGGCCTTAAAATCTGAGGAACATAGATCAGAAATGGCCTTTAGAAGGTCACACCAGGCGGCGGAGTGGTCTATCAGGGCATCTACTTTAGCCTCCTTCTTCACTAGATCCGCCCTCATTTGGCTTTGTCAGCTACAGACCAGGATCCCCTCGGATGATGTCCGCACACATCAGGACCTGAGCAAGTTAGTGGCCGTGACGGAATACGCTTCCGATGCGACCTTACACGCTGCTTGGTTTTCCTCCAGATCCTTGGCATCCAACGTGACAGCCCGCCGCATACTATGGCTAAGACACTGGCAGACAGATGCCAAGTCCAAGTGGCATCTGGCAG